GATGGGGCAGCCACAGCTTCTCTGGGCAACCTGTGCCAGTGTCTCACCACCCTCATAGGGGAAAATTTTTTCCTAACATCTAATCTAAATCTCCCTTCTATCAGCTTAAAGCCATCAAAAAGTTATGTGCTCAAACAAAAACAAAAAAAAAAAAAAAATCACTTAAAACTCTGCAGCCCTAGGACCTAGAATATCTAGTGTAGCTCACAAAGAGAATCTTCCAGTGTTTAAAACGTTGTAAAATAAGATGAAAAAACAGATTTGAGGATACAGAATATCTTTAAACAGCGAGGCAACTTAAAGCCTTAGTCATTAGAAAATCTATAGTCATTCCTTACCCATATGACACTGAAGTCTGCCATGCAGCCTATTATTTCTCATCTGAGGTTATATCAGTCATGTATATAAACCAGTCTATCAACATCAGCAGTAAAAGATTACCTCATATGTGAAACAGTATGTACTTAGCTTAAATTTAATGCAGTTAGCCTTCAGGGGAATGACAGGAAAAAAACCAAACCAACCACTGACCAAGTACATAAACTACAAAAAGTAAAAAGTATCCTGGTTTAAAAGGATACTTGAATGCAGGAGGAACTTCTAGAGCATCTTCAAAACCATCCATGAAGAATATATTTATATGGAAGAATGAGACAGTTGTTCAGGATGAAACTGGTCAGAAGTAACGCATCCAGAGAACTGGAATAGGAGTGGAAAACCAACCTTACCCAGCACAAAAATACCATATTCAAACAGGTGAAAAAGCCACTATCAGAGTATATGGTCAGTGAACAATTATGAAATACCTTAAAATACTCTCTAAAGAGAAGTCAGTGTTCATGTCCCATTCCAAGAGAAAACATGGAAAAGTGTGAATTCTCCATATGTGATAACTTTCTTCCTACTCCTAGAGTCTGCAATATAGTGGTCTTTATCAGAAAAAATGAAGCTTCTGGAGTACTGGGATACACCAGATTTGACTCAAATGAGCCTTGCTCACCCACCCCAGCATGTTAAACAATGAAGTCACACTACTCCAAGTGCTTGGCCTACCACAGTAGCCTAATAGACTAGGGTAGAAAGCTATGGAAACACCTTGGGACTGGTGAGTCTCAGCAGGATCATCTCTGTGTATCCCAAAATATTGCCACACAACCAGCTCTGTGCAGCAGAGGTGATGGTGCCGGCACTGCTCTGCAGCGCTGCACAAACCTGTTTAAGACTTTAAAGCTTCAGACTAGAGGAGCATAAGGGAAAGTCTTTAGCGCATAATTAGGGCAGCCATCAGTAGGTGTTGTCTCTATCCTCCACCCCTTGCAAGCACCAAAGCCACTCTGCTGAGCTCAGCTGTGCCAGCAAGGTGGGATACAAAACACTGCTAACGCAGTTTAGCTGTCACAGTTTGCATTTGTGAGGAGTTTGGTGCTTTCTTTTTCCAATCCATGTTTTTGGGACATTTTTGGAACATGTTTTAACATTATGACTATCAAGAATAAGATGACACAGAGATATCCATTCAGAGGCCTGACCCGAATTTGTCTGCTGGAACAATAAGCAAGCTCCCACTATAGCTTCCAGGTGACCTGGCTTTCCCTGGGCAGTCAGAATGTGATCACATCTTCACTGGCCAGGAAGATGCATGTGGCAGAGTACCCCATGGTCAGTATTCTGGGCAGGAATCAGCAAGCCCTTATAGGATGCACTAAAAGTATGCTTTCCCAGGTCAGTGCTCCTGAAGAGATGGGATGCTGCTGTTCCTGTGAGCTATGAAGCACCTTCCCAAGCTGCACCTGGAAGGGACACAGAGCCCAACAGCAAAGCAGCCAGGCTGCTTCAGCTAGCCCAGGTTTTGCATAGTCTGGGAGATAAGCAGACCTGAGCAGAGAAGTTGCAAGGGCAGGTACAGGAGCAGTGCTGATACGATCAAACCCCAAGAGGCACAGGTGAGCCCATCAGAGCCTGGGGACACATTCCCTGGGGTGGTAAGAAACATGCCTGTCTAGGCAGAGCCTTCTGCAACAGTGATTTGGCCATGTCTGGTCCAAGTGACTGCAGTCCCTCCTCTGCGGTAGTTTTCAGCTATGAAACAACAGGCTAAATCCCAAGACTCAGATGGCCCAGAGGATTCAAATACCCAAGAAAGAAGACATTTACCCACACGGAGGAAGGAAACTGGATTTTGATCCACCTTGAGGAGGAGCTCTAGAGTCCTGAGGATGTTGTGGATGGCCCATTTCTGCTGACAGTAAAGTGCATGAAAAGTGAGAGCTTGAATGACAGGCAGAGATCCCCTGCAATAAGGGAGCTTTCTCACCAGTGTCAGAAAATATCCATCAGTTTTCTGATGTACAAGAGACAGAGCCTTTGGAGAGTGCAGGGGCTGTCTGTACATGATTTTTTACAGTCTCTTAGTGACAACATCCCTGAAAGCAGGGATGCAGATGTGGAAAAAGGAAGGAGCCTTTTTTGACAGGATGTAGAGCAAATCCCTTTGGGACCTAGAGACTAATTGACAGTACATGCAAAGTCCCTTTAGCACAAATCTGATCCCCAACTCGATCGAATCCCTCAGCATTTCCAAGGGTTAAAGCACAGGAACACCAGAGCCAGCAGTCACACTACTGCAAGTATTAGGCAACACAGCCATTGCTTCACCAATTTCTCTGGACTGAGGAACTGGGAGAACATCCTCCCGAAGAGCCTGAGAACAGGGAGCTTTCCAGGGACCAGGAATTACACAGACTTAAAAGGAACTCTGAAAAGCAGGGAAATAAGTATCTTATTTGAATAAGACAACAGATATGCATCTTTTCATAAAATCACATATTCTTTTGATCTCTGTGCCTTCCGGGCAAAAGAAGGATAGCTGCAAATTACAAACAACAGCAAAAAAGTGATAGGTTACTGCTTCTCAGACCAAGAGAAAACAAAATATCTAAAATACCCCAGACAATTTAATTATGGACCCCAGTTATTATAAGAGCAAACAACGACAGACAAGAGGCCAAACCAATGATCAGCTTGAAACATCAGAATTAAAACTTTTACTGACACTTTAAAATGTAATGATTTGCTTTACTGCCATCTAGTGACAATTCAACACGGTTCATAACAAAATGATAATGACATAAAACTAGTTTAGATCTGCAAAAGGGCTTCAGTAATTTTAAGCATCTATTCATACCCATAAGAAAGCAAGTAAGGTCTACTGTAATTGCTGATGGAAGAAATTTGTTTACAATAAGAGTGGTAAAGTACTGGAACAGGTTGCCCTGAGAGGTGGTAGATGCACCACCCCTGGAGACATCCAAGGCTGGATATGGTTCTGGGTAACCTGATCTAGCTGAACACGTCCTTGCTTATTGCAGGGGGGTTGGACTAGATGACCTCTGAAGGTCCCTTCCAACCCCAACTATTTATGATTTTGCTAGTTTTCCTATCAAAACCTGTAAACACAAAGTGAAGCATGGAGAAACTAATATATTTGTGTACTGCAAGAGTAAAGCAATAATCTGGAATGTAGTCTTACAAATCAATATTGCCAAAATTTCTGTGAACAGCATCAAAACATTATAATGCCATCACAGCAAAAATCAGATTCTGCAGTTTTTCAGTATTCCCTGTAGACTGGCTTCTGAAATACTTCATTCAAAGCAATAAGAAAGGAACAGCAACTTACAATTTCCAGCCCAATTTGATGGATACATTATAAAGTTATACACACATATCTCACAATTATATGAAACTATTTTACTTCAAGAGGTGGGAGATGACAAACTTCTGTCACTGAAATGTGCAAGATCAAATCTAAACAAATATGACGTCCAAGCAAGAGATGTGGTGAATAAGGTCAAGGGCCTTTACCAAGGAGTAAGAAGCCAGCTGTAGAGGCAGACATAACAAAGGCATGAAGCCACCGAACCAGAATGCTCTGGCAGTTAGGAGACAAACTTCTTGCAAAAGTTTAGTCCAAAATTTTTGAAAGAAGTCAGAGTAAGACAGACAAGTTTAGTTGAAATCCTACCTATTTTTACAGAAGTTAACAAGCTTGAACTGAAGTTTGCTGGAACAAAAATTGCAAGATCATGCAGCTAAGGACAATAAAGAAAACAGGTCCATACTAGCACTGACCCCTCTGAAGCACCAAGGTGACAGAAAGTGTGTCAGTGCTGATCCCAGCACTGCGTTACAATGTAAGGAGGAACTGAGCAAGTGAGACCCCAGAAAATGTTAGATGAGGTGTTTCAGTGGTGACAAGGAACCCAACCACCATGAAACAAGCTTTTCTTAAGCCTCGTTTGTAAAACAGCACACACGCTTGGCAGTGGGATTCAAGGAAGGCTATCTTAACTGGAGCAGACATAGAGGAGGGCTGGTATCTTCAAGTCCTGCAGAAATACGAGAAGGGTTTGAGCTTGCTTCATCACTAGAGCAAGAAACATATGCAGGGGGCTAAGTAGCCAAGATGGAGATGGGTTCTTTAAATGAAAGGCACTGATAGAAGAATATACAGGACAGAAAGTGGCCACAGAGACATTCAGGCTAGAAATTACAATAATGTTTCCAAATATTATAGGGATAAGGCCCCAGCACAGCTTTGTTAGTGAGGCAGAGAAAGGGAAATAGTTTTAACAGTGAAACTGACAGGCTTACAAAAACTACCATGGCAGAATTGCCTGCAGTAATGCAGCAGGCACCCGGCCATAAATGAAGATGTGGCAGCGATGACCCTGAGAGCAGAACAGCTGTGCAGTATCCAGAGGTCAGCCAGCAACATGCCTCAGCCCTTTTACTGGGAATTCTGGAGGATGCTCATCTTACAAAGCTCCTCTCCATGCTGGGAAGAGGAAGGTAGGGTCTTCCGTTTTGCTTTGTGTTTAATTCCAGTTTATTCTCCCCAGAACGTAATGCTGGCACAGCCTATGCCGCATCCTGGACCTACAGCAGCCAGTGGGACTCCTGAAAAGCATTTCAGCTGAAAACCTACAGCAATGCAAATGATGGGGTACAATCTGTCATATGGAAAACTGCCAGGTAAAATAACATTGGAAATTTAAGTGATTGAGAAGTGTTTACTATATCACTATCAGTTCCTACCAACACTTTAAAGAAATAAGTAATTTCAGAATAGGCTTGTCTGAATACTGCCGAATGCTGCCCATGGGTGTCAGTCCTGGCTTACCACACAAGCCAAGTTCAGAATATAAACACTATGAAATAAGGCATGCTATAGTTTAATGAGATAACTTAGAAGTCTGAAATTTTTTCCAAATATTTAGACATAAAATCTTAACACCCCCAGAGACTGTGATTTATAAATACGTTTTAATAAGCCAAGTTTTAAATTAGTGTTTTAATAGGCCCAAAGAGTCTCTCCAGAGTCCTATCTCTTGATAAACAGATCACCTCAGCTCACAAGTTGTGATCTGTGAAGACAGCTGAGCACTAGTGCACTGTGACATTGATTAACGGTGCATTCCCAGCACACTGGCATGCAGCTGCTCTTGTCCGCACACCTATGTGAGACCAGCGACAGGCACTGCAGCCCTCAACCTGCAGCATGGGGACTGCCCTGCTCCCCTTGGATAGCAGGTGGATGAAGGAAACTCCAATCCTTCTCACACTGCACTGAGCTGGGCTGTCTCCCAACCCACAGGGCAGCAGCAAGGGCAGGTAGGGAGCTCATGCACAGCACAGGAATGGGAACCTTTGGAATATACATGCACCCACATCCTGCATTTCTTCCCTACCAAGCTATATGCAGAAGCACCTTGATATTTCATCAGGACGCACAGATGATGTGCTTGAAACCTACCAAGCCAGAGGCATATTTATTTTGACATGTTCAATACTTAGGAGCACTGTTTTGAAGGTAGGTTTCCCAGGCCAGTTAATCTGGAATTGCCCAGAGATAGGACATTTTCTAGAGGACAGTTCTAAAACAGCCCCATTTGTAAAATGCTAGAAACATACTTGAAAATTCTTGTTCTTCCTCATTCCCACAGAAGACCGTCTGAGCCAAGACAACAGTACCTCACTCAATTTCACAACAGGCTTACTTGGGAACTCCACACACAACGAATTCACCACCATCGTCTTGCCTGTGCTTTACCTCATAATTTTCCTGGCAAGCATCTTGCTGAATGGCCTAGCAGTGTGGATTTTTTTCCATATCAGAAATAAAACGAGTTTTATATTTTACCTCAAAAACATTGTGGTTGCAGACCTTCTCATGACACTGACATTCCCATTCAAGATAATCCAGGACTCGCAGCTGGGACCATGGCACTTCAACTCTTTCCTGTGCCGATACACCACAGTTCTGTTTTACGCAAACATGTACACCACGATTGTGTTCCTCGGACTCATCAGCATCGACCGCTACCTGAAAGTAGTGAAGCCTTTTGGAGACTCCAGGATGTACAGCATCACCTTCACCAAGATCCTATCTGCCTGTGTTTGGGTTGTCATGGCTTTCCTAGCTTTGCCAAACCTTATTCTTACCAATGGCTACCCGACAAAAAAAAACATCGACGACTGCATAAAGCTCAAGTCTCCCCTAGGAGTCAAGTGGCACACAGCTGTCATTTACATCAACACCTGCATGTTTGTAGTGGTGCTGATAGTACTGATAGGATGTTATATTGCGATATCCAGGTACATTTATAAATCGAGCAAACAATTTATTAGCTCATCAAGCAGAAAGCGAAAGCATAATCAAAGTATAAGGGTTGTTGTGGCTGTATTTTTCACTTGCTTTCTGCCATATCATTTGTGCAGAATACCCTTTACTTTTAGCCACCTAGATAAAATTTTAGATGACTCTGCACATAAAATCTTGTATTATTGTAAGGAAATGACACTGTTCCTGTCCGCATGTAATGTCTGTCTGGATCCAATAATTTACTTTTTCATGTGTAGATCATTCTCAAGAAGGCTGTTTAGAAAATCAAATATGAGAACCAGGAGTGAGAGTATTAGATCACTTCAGAGTGTTAGAAGATCAGAAGTGCGCATATACCATGAATACACTGACGTTTGACGTCACCCACACAGAGACTTTTGCTAGTTCATGAGAACATTTGTATATCATGTAAATAAAATATCTTTGAATATCTGACCATGGAAGTTCATTGAGAAATTGCAGATACGAACAGCTTTTCTGTTTCAGATGACTCACATCCATCTCAAAATCCAAAAGCTTAAATCCACACAGTGATCAAGTTCACTTAAGAGGAGTTTGGGGGTTGTTTTGGTTGGTTGGGTTTTTTAAAGGCCAACAGACGCTAAGGATGTTGGCTCAGAAACCAACCTGGAGCTCCAGGAGGCTCCAGCTGAGACAGACAAGCTCTGGCCTCAGAGCAGGATCCAATGAGACAAGTCAACATCCCTAGGTGTGGTGATGGCTGCTGAAGGGCTTGCGGCAAGCGAAGGAGAGAGAAGTAGGTGGCACTTGCTCCTGCAGAGACCCCTTGTCACACCCACAGGCAGAGCAGCTGCAGGGCTCAGTCTGCAGAAATGGTGCTTTGCCACCGGCCAATAGCATCTCAGCTTTTCCTTTTGGGCATTTGTGGTGCTGGCAGCACCATCTCGACCACATATCAAACCTACCTAAGTACTAGGTCTCACCCCTTCCAAAATATCAAACATAAAAAATTCAAACACAATACTAGTTTAAGTCACATCTCAAAAACCAACATATACAAACAACAACAAACACCACACACACACAAAAAAAAAAGGGGGGGGGATAAAGAAAGAAGAAAAAGATGTTAAAACAACTTTTAACTCCCATTTATCTCATTCTAAGTGAGGATATGACAAAAAAAGGTCCCTTGGCAGACTCCAAGACTCACATGTGACAAGACTGAGCAACCAACACCAAGCTGAAAATTCCATTTCCCAGCACTTTCTATACCTGCTTAATACAACAGGAATGAGACATAAAGCATTGGAATTTTTTTTTGTTCAACATGATTGTAACTTTGGCTGCTCTCAGCTCTTGGAAACGATTGTGTGTGATAGGCAGGTGAAATTCATTTTTGGAAAGCAGTTCAGGCAACACATTCAAGTATTATTTTACACTGTGGTGTATTTACATACCACCAGAGCAGAGGACATATTAAGGGAGAGTGTCCAAAATCAAGGCAAGAAGAAAGGAATAATAAAAGACTAACACAGCAGCTGCTGCATGAGAAAGCCTTGACTTTAATAAGTACGTATAATAACTACATTATTTAAAAGAAGAAACCAAGGCCTGGAGAGCATGCACCAAAGCTAAAGTTGGCTGGGACATCTCAAGTCATTTCGGTAAGATTCTGACAGGCTTCACACCACATGAGCAATCAAGAGCACTCTAGATTTGTTTACAACAATGGCAGAAGAAAACAAAACTACTTGTGACAACAGCTTGTACAAACACTCCCGAGCTGTGTTCGCACTAGCTTGTACTGGCAGAGGGAGCAAGGTGGCCAGGCTAGCCAGGCACCCATGCCGACCAGGCAGCAAGAGCCACAACAGGGTCCAAGGCTGCTCTCCAGTAGTACCTCCACCAAGGATGTGGTGTGGGGACCTCTAAGGGTGAGGCAGAGGTAGAAACACAAGTTCCTCCTCTCTTGATGGCTGCACTCTACAAGGGAGGCCATCTCCCACCAAAGGGCACAGGTACCAGGTGCCTCCCGCGCTCCCCGGGAGCTCTGAGCAGCTCAGCCAGGGACACCAGGTGGGAAGGCCGGGACAGGGCAAGCACAGGCTCCCCAGGAGCTGGGAGAAGGATTTGCAGAGGAGCAGAACGTGGGGAACCATCCTCCAGGAACATGCATTAAATTGCCTTGAGACACCAGAGACCACCCTGAATTCACAGTATTTCAAGACCAGCCCGCACACACGGTTCACACACACCGAGCAGAGCACAGGCAGCTCCAGCACTGCACAGCCCCGACACCTCCTGCCCTCCTGTGGCAACCTCCTCAGACACCCTCGGCAAGATGAGGCAGCACCAGGGAGGATGGATCTGGCCACTTCAGGCTACAAGGATGTGTTTGCATGTAATCCTGTAAACTGAACAATGTTTATGTGAATAATTTTGTCCTGTACTTCACCAAGGATTAAATCAGGTTTGCTTAGAGTAAAAGCTGCTCCTACAAAACATAAATAGCCAAACTAAAAAAATGCAGATTGTAAGGAACTGATAGGTGTTTGGAGCAATCAATTTTTACATGCATCTTATGCAATGTAGTGCAATTGAAGAAACAGAAGATGGCAACAGCCCATCATGAAGTGCTTCATTCAAATAAGGATTTTCCTTTAAATATTTAAAAAAAAAAAAAAAAAAAAGGTTTGACAAGAAAATCCTGGAAATGCAGCATTGAAATAACAAGATAAAATACTGCATGAGAACACCTTTGATGATGTTTTCTACTGAAACACGGGTTTGTTTTTTATTTCTTTTTTAACAGGTTCATTTTAGATGCTGTTTTATGCATGATCAAAAGGTTGACATGTATGTATTACAATATTTGATTATGTATTTGGATTAATGCAAGTATTTTAAAACTACTTACATTGTTCAGGGGAGATAGTTTCTGGAAAGGAAGATGGAATATTTCAGATTTTTATCCTACTTTATATAAAAGTATTTTAAATGGCTAAAATACCACAGAATAAATCCTATTTTTAATCAACTCTGTGGAAAACCGTGTTCACACAAAGACTATTTCTGGAATAAAATAAGTCATTTTGTACTCTTAGGGGTCTATGCCCATACAAAACCATATTGAGAACCATTTTTGGGACTGGGTTGCATAGCGTGAATTCTCATAAGCACCAAATTAAATGGAGCAGCATCCTGGGTTGGTTTTGTGAAATGGTAATATTTAGGACTGGAAGTTATGTATACACAGACGTTCATAACCAAAGACGCTCCTTCTTCAGGTCTTATATGGTTAAAGAAAACCAAGACTGAGTGCTTCTGGTCTTACTTTTACGATGCAAGTAATAGTAAATCACAGAAGGGTTTTTGACTCATAAAATTGTGCTCAATAATTGCCGTGTTAAATTCATACACCACCACCACCCCTGGTCTCTGCTTTGCAGCTATTCCCCTTCTAATGCCTTTGCAACACTCGCACAGCTACAGGCACAGGTAGGCACACGCAGCCTGTCTTTTCCACTAAGGGAGACTGCTACACAAAATCTTCCAGTAACAAGATCCTTTATTTATAAGGCTGCAGCTTTTTCCCACCTCACTTGATGCCCTCTCCTCCACATTACCTCGCTGCAAGGCTAAGGCAGTGGCTCATGCTACCGCATGTTCCCTGATGTGCTTAGCATGCAACATAGATGGGTACCATCATATTTTTACTTTCTTATAGCCTTCTCCAGTAATCACCTTTCAAGCTGAATTTTTCTGTGTACTATAAAGCCTATCTTTATGCACCCAAAAGCATCTTCTGTCTTGCAAGAAGGCACACAGACCCATTACAACAGGTTTTAGATCTGCCTGGAGAGAGAAGCTGGATTCCACACTCAGCTGTATCCCTTACCAGACAGAACTACAGACAAGCCCATTACTAGTGGATTAGCTATTGGCAGAACAACTGTGCTACAGATGAAGATGGCTCTTCCTATCTTCGTTGTGCACTACTGCTCAGAAACTGTCACCATTTGTACCATTGGAACTAATGCTCGTGAGCCTGCTGGGCATAAAGCTGCTTGACCACAGCCAGGCTATGGGTTTCCACCAGTCTCCCTAATGTCTGTTTTCATCCAGGTTCTTCTATTTTCTATTTATGCAAATTTCTATTTCCAACTTGCATTATTTTCTATTTTCAGGTTCTTCTATTTCTTCTATTTTCTATGCTCCAGCTCCTCCTCACCATAAACAACAGACAACTGACTCTGAGTCCCACACACTTCACTGAGCCAAGTCCTATCAGAAGCAGATCACAGAATAAGCACACACCTCCTAAGATTAAATTCAAATATCCTGACTACTAGACAATATTTTAAATATATAGTATAGCAGAGTAGAATCACAGATTCACAGAAAGGTTTGGGTTGGAAGAGACCTTAAAGACCATCTAGTTCCAATCCCCTGCCATGAGTAGGGACATCTTTCACTAGACCAGGTTGCTCAAAGCCCTGTCCAGCCTGGCCTTGAACACTGCTGGGGATGGGGCATCAACAGCTTCTCTGGGCAACCTGTTCCAGTGTCTCACCACTCTCACAGCGAATAATTTTTTCCTAATATCTAATCTAAATCTACCCTCTTCCAGTTTAAAGCCATTCCTCCTTGTCCTGTCCCTACATGCCTTTGTAAAAAGTCTCTCGTTTCTCTATATGATGTATGTACACATACACACATGCTATAGGATTCAGTATAAATGTGGAGAGCAAGACAGCTCAAACCCCTCCCAGAATCATAACCTTCTTCCAGGTGGAGGGTGGCCTTCCTACCCAACTCCAGCAAAGCTCAAGAAGCTACTTCCATGGAAACCCCACTCTTTGTCCCTAAGCAGGGACACAAAGGACAGGTGCACAGGATTCAGGATTCTCCCCTTTCCCAACAGTAGAGCTTGCTCACCAAATGGTGAAGCTCAGTGATGGCTGAAGACACAGATGGCCACCTACTTCTCTTCTAGCATGTTATACACTTTCCTTATAGGATATGGACGCACACATACTATGCTTTCTCACTGTCCACTTATTTTCTAACTAAAGGCTACATTTACGTAGGATTTCCTCCTAGGAGAAAGTACTGCTGTTTCCTATTAAGAATTTTATACCAAAAAAAAATCTATTACTCAAAGCAAGTGCACTGGGGGCGATGTCCTTCAAAGAATGGCCTAAAGATACCCTTTCCACGGTACTAAAGAGATAAACCAGCCAGTAGTTTCTGGAAAATGCAGTCACACAAGGGAGCAGCAGGGCATCCACATGAAACCCCACTCTGGAAAAGGAAGACGCAGCCATGCGCTCCCAGCACACAGGCCAGCCAGACGAGCCTCTGCTCTGAAGCCTGATGATTCGGATGCACACAGC